CGTAATATGTTCTCAAAATGCTTCTAAAAATCAATGTTTTTGAATAAAAACAGGCCATTTGTAAACTTTTTGACAACATTCTCGCCATGTGTATTGTTTTCAGAGACATTGCAGCTTATTCTATTATTGTAGTGATAAAATAAAAGTGTTATTGTTGCCAATTTAAAGAACAGTTATACAGGGAAAAAATTAATATTTATTTTTTCGGGGGCTACTTTTCAAGCTTTCCTGCATGAAAATAACATTCTAAAATTTGTTTTGCATTTACAGGGGCTCTTTTCTGATTTTCGAGGGCTATTTTGGGCATTTCGGGGGCTAATTCGCCCCAAACCCCTGTGTATTTTTTCACTGGAACAATATGCAGTGATCAATTTAGCCTGAAAAAAATCCTGTCCTGAAAGGGTTAAGTCAATGATTACCAGTAGATATAGACTCTTCAAATGCTTCTGCACAGCTAGGCTAAAGCTGAAGCAATAATCAAAACTTACAAAGCCCTTATGGATATAACAGAATGTAATGTAAAAATTTGTTGGGTTTTGTTACAAATCCAATTATTATGAAATAAGATTGATGAAGTATTTACATCAGAATAATCAGTATTATTGACGACTTTTCTCAATATTCATTTCACAATTAGACTATAATCATGATCTCAGTCTAGACGGAAGAAAACTGACCACATGTCTTTTATTTCAACAACAAGATATATTAATCATTTCTAGTTTCCCATGAACATCATTTGCTCTAATTATATATCAAAATTGTTTAACTTGATAGCAGTTATTTCCTGAACATTCTACCCTGATTTAAAGCATGTATTTTCACCTTGAAAGCAATGCAACAAAACTCCCTTGAGTCCCTTTCTGATAAGCTATTCAGGTCCAATTTAGGTGTTGGACTTGTGATGTATTTTGACCAAAAGTACACTGAGATGTTTTTGAGGAGAGAGACAGGAGTCATTTCTTTTTTGCCAGAGAGTTCAAGGATGTCATAAAAAAAACATCAATTTGTCTGTTATATTAGTGAGAACAGAGCCCAGTCTGATGGTTTGAGGAATAATAGCAGCCGGGTAATATGGGAGGGAAATAATTAATTCTAACTTTTGGCTTATTTCCACCGATTTGATAAGGGACTTTTGTTGCATAAAACAACACACCTTTTTCTGAGCATGATTTGACAATACAATTGTATACAGTAACTTGTTTGGGTGTATTTCATAATGTTATCAAATATTTTTCCAGTAAACATAATATTGTCTACATAGTCTGAGATAGATAGGGCATCTAGTTGACCCAAAGACTGCATTCTTCACTTGTTGAATTTGTGTGTGACATAGCATTCGCTAACACGATCAGGATAGTAATTTGCTTTTAAAAAGCAACCAATTTTAACATGACTTAAGCCATGTTCAGATAAGATGCGGCAAAACAGCTTCAGTTGTCTTTTATGGTGATTTAAAGTGTAATATGCTTTACAATTTGTTCCTTTTTTCACAAAGTGACGGTAGTGAGGAAAATCCGCACGCAAATTGTATGCGATTTTCATTCACTACCGTCACTTCGAGAAAATAGGGACGAATTGTTGCATACAATTGCCATTCATTTACATGTTTTTTTTGTTGTGTTTTCTTTTTTCTTTTTGGGGGGATAGATTACCAAGTCATACCTGAGCGAGCCTTTAAGGACCCAGATAGACAGTTTTTAGGAGGATTCATTTTAGAAGATTCAGTTTTTTCCATGTCTGTGTGTCTGTTTGTTTTATTTTTTTAATATGGCTATTTAGGTATATATATACTTCTGCAATTCCCTTTAACATGAGTACATGACTGTAAATCCCTGGTAGACAGTTTGTTGATGAGAATTAATCTACAAGGAATCGATGCAGTAGACCCTTCAATCTAATTTACCACCACATGTTTCTATTGAGTTATCTCCGAGCTCTGACTCAAAATGACTTCATCTCTATACCTAGCTGATAGTCTTTCATTCCAAACCGAGAGGATAAATCTGTGCACGCTGTAAAAGGTGTTGCATAAAAAATTACCCAACGTGAGGATAATTATGATTCCAACCAACTTTGGGGCAATTAAAGTTACATTTGGGGTGATTTTGCTCAATCTGTATTGAAAAAGTGCAAAATATTACCTGAGTTGGGTTTAATGTAAGAAATCATTATATCACAGTTGTTTATGTATTATATGTACAATTGTTTTGTGTCACAACATTTTTTGTTGTTGACATGTTGCAATTTTGTTTTGTTTTATCTGACAATTAAAATAATTATATTACTGTTCTTGTTTAAAACAATAATTCATTCTGAAGTCTTCAACAGAGACTTTCGTTTCACCTTAACAGTCAGTGAGAGCTTTGACGTTCCAACTTCATTTTTTTATTTCCCCCTTTTTTGTTCTCTCTTTTCTTTTCTCGGGGGGGGGGGGGGGTACATCATCACCTGGGCATTATTTCAAGACACCGTCATAAGTACAAGTTCACCAACATCCCATTGAAACGTGCATGTAATTAAAGCATGTATCAGTGTGATTTTGGGGAACTCGTACTTATGACGGTTTCGTGAAACACTGCATTGAGTGACAGCTGATAAACCCATAGCCAGGGGATCTGGGAGATATTCCAGTAAGCCTCATAAATACACCATGATCACAAACCTATAACTGAAATTTGCTTGGAATTTAGGCAAAGTGTAAGAAAAGCAGTGATCTTTTAAAATCAAAGCATGATGGAAATTTAACCGTGGTGGGTGACATTTTCATCGGTCATCACAAATATTTCATGAATTTCCTTTTTTTTCTTCAAAGAAAATATTTTCTCATCAATCTATCTTTGCCCTGGATTTATAAAAGAATCATACATGTATATACACTACCTCCATGATATACAGTCAAACCTGCTTTAGTGACCACCTGTCTACAAAGATCACTTTTGGTGTTTCCCTTGGGCGGTCGCTATAGACAGGTTTGACTGTATATCTATTCCCTTTCTTATTAATAATGGCAAAATGGGGAGCTGCTAGCAAGGAAATAAGAGACAGGGCTTGACTCTAACAAGGGTCCAGTACACAGTGGGACCCAAAATTGTATCTCTGGACCCCAACACTTTTGAAGATTACAGAGAGGATCCATGCAAACAGATCCTAAAAAATACTATCCTGAGACTGATGCCTTCCAAAAAAAGAGTTAGAGAGGAGCCCTATAATAAAGTTGCCAATTTGAGTCTCAGCCTCAAGAGTTACAATTCTTCACTTTCCGATAAATCATTAATCTGATTTTCTTTATAATACTGTCACTTGAAAATTGGGAGTTTTATTAAAAGAAACTCATTTCAGGGGTGAACCTCCTTTTAATCAGAATGTTTGCTTACTAAAGTGCAGCAAAACTTGATCAGGATCAGTATTTGTTGACAAGATCAGTTTGATCAGTCAAGTTGGCAATACCAGAAGGTCAGTGCCTGTCACTGTAAATGACTGATATTCATCAGGGTCGAAGGCCTAATCGCATGATGATGTCATACTCTATAAGCTAGAAATCCATTGGCAAGCTTCTCACTGCCTGATAAACTGGTTTTGCGACGAGTAAGCTTCCATTCCCCAGTCAGTATCGAGCAGTTTAATCCCAGTATTAATTTAATATTTTACTACTTGATTAGTTTTAAAGCGTTATGATTCCACTTGACTTTAACTTCATGAAAAGACATATATTTCATAGCTTGAAACTAAACAGGTTGAAGCACATGTGGACCCCTCAAATTTCATTCCTACTTTGGAGCACTAGATTTTCTTCTGGTGTACGGGTGTATTTTTTGGGGGGTCTTGCGATAAGTGGAGATAAGGCAAGAAGACAAAAATGATTGAAGAATAAAAATATATACGAATCGACATAATCGATAGTCCAGATTATGAAGTTGTTATATATTTTATTCTCAACCTAACAAATGACCCATGATTGAAATGCACTATTACCTCCCTTGTAGTGGGGTCCATGCTCTAACAGTACCACTTGTTGGCTATTTTCTCTAGGTCTAGATCTCTATTTCTCTAGGTCTAGATCGGTATTTGAACTGGTCCATCAGAGGTTAGATCCAGGAATTACCCGGTAATCTGCAAAAATATGACTCCGAGCTTGGGTCAACAATTTAAAACCTCTGAGGACAGATTCCTCTATTATTGTTCCAAAACTTCATTGAGAATGTTCCTCGTTTGTATAACTGTTCTTCATATTTCTATTTTCATCATTTTTTTCTACTTTTCTCTTTTGGGTCATTTACTGCAATTTTTTTTACTTGCTCAAATTTGAAGCATCAACATATTTTCAAGACATATAATGTAAGCAGGAATATTTGATCAAGCAGGAAACCTTGTAGAAATCTATCAAGAAAAATATGCTTCAGCTATAATTTTGTACTTTTAAAAATCATCATCATTATCAACATCATAATGACCATCCTCATTTTCACCATCATCTTGATAATAAATATCATCATTACTTACGCTACACTGAAAGTGCATTCACCTATAACCTGTTAACAGTTGGAGAAGTCTCAAAAATAAATAATTCAAAGCATTTTAGAAAGCTTAGGGTCTGCCCTATCCAATGACACCAAAGAAACTGGTGATATTCTATGCTTGACTAAGCAAAAGTCGTTATCGTGAAAAGATGAACAAATCTATAAGGAATTTGTATTTGTTTTTGAGAGTATCAGCAAAGTTGAGACTCATGAAAAGGCTAAGAACTTTTCATATTCTGATCATCATTTATAGGACAGTTTATATCTTTGTTTATCCTTTCATTATACCATCAACATTTTCCACTTGAGTGACCAATGAACTACTTTATTGAGTGAATTGATAGTTATATAAAAGGAAAACAAAGATAGTTGTCTGGAAGTATCACGATTTGGTGAGTTTTTAAATTGAAGTTAGTATGGTAAAAGCAACATTGATATTTTGATGGTATTTGTCAAGACATGCACGGAACAGCCTCTCACCTCTGTAGCTGACGCCGGCGACCATAGGGTGTCCACTTTGACACTGGTATCCCATGGATGAGCTTTGACATCTCGTGCACCTGTTAGGGGCGGTACATGTACCCCCTCCTTCACAAGATCCCCTGCATGTAGCTGTACATAGAGAAAGAGAATAGATAAAGAAGCATTAAAGGTAAAGACCAGTATTGGAAACGCCCAAATTTCAAAAAATGAAATGGAAGCTCTTATTACCAATCATGTGAAAGAATATGTTTTGACTAATACATGTGATAACAATTTTGCCGGTAAACAGCCTTAGTAATTGATATATTTGGTAAATTAGTTTATCTATTGGTATGTGAGAGATAAACGCACATGTCATGCACGTGTGCGTAGTCCCATATACATCTTTCTGTGTACAGTGCTTGTAACTTTACCAACACACCAATACTTATATGCTAGATAATCAAACTTTTCTGATCCATTCCACAACGCTTCTTTCACAATGCAATCACATGACCAGAACTGGTCTCTATCTTTAAATGGGAGCAATGTGGTGTATTGCCAGCGACTTTTGACTCTCATAAACAAGGTAATGGGTTCAATCCTTAATTGGTGCTTACATCATTGAACATATTTATCAGTAGCAGTGACACTTCTGATACCTGATTCGTTTGTTTACTCTGTTTGTTTTGTTTTGTTTTTTGTAAGTTATCATTATTGTTAAGTATTTGGTGTCACCTCTGCCTCCTAGTATTTACTGATTGGGGTGTGCAGGTGGACCACAACTCAGGGGTTTCCCCTACTCTTATACAATTAAAATAGTGCAGTGGATTCTCAACTTGCAGAGGTGGTGACTCTCCTCTACACAGGGCCTCCATTTAATGTCCTATCCGAGGGACGGGTTGTTTTCCACTGTAATGAAACAGTAAAGGGGCACTTTAACACACAACCCAGGCTTCAGTCATCCGCCTGGGCTAGAATCAAACCAAAATAGTCTGTAACGACAAGATAACTTCAACGTTTAAAACCACGACCTAAACTTAAAGTTGATGGACTGCCATGTGAACCTACCTAGTGGTGATTATTAAGTAGAAAGAGAATCCAAACTATATCTAATGACCATGACTGATCTTTTCTATTCCCACTGGCTCATTTTCACATCCTAATAACGTCCACATGTTTTGCTCGATCATGGTGTGGTTTGGTTTTTCAGGAGCGAGGCTGGACATCGACCAAATCCAGATTGATTTTTTTGTTATGTTCCCTGAAAAACGTTGATACTACACCCATTGTCATGTCATGTTATATTATGTAGTGACAAACTCATGAGCACCCCTATATTTAGAAGACAGGAACAACACAGTATTCACAGGAATTCAGGTCCTTTTAATGCTAGATTGTGTAACTGTACATGACATAGGCCCATCTCTTTCGACTCCCATCTCTCTTTCTCTTCCTTTTTCTCTCATCGTTTTCTATTGCATTGCATCATTCTTTAATTTTCCGCTATCTCTCTCACTTCTCTCCAACCCTCTGTCTCTGTCTCTCCCTCTCTCTCTCTCTTTACCTTTATTCCTTTCATCTTTTTCTCTCTTTCTCTCTCTCTCTCTCTCTCTCTTTCTCTCTCTATATCTCTCTACCTCTCTATCGCTCTATATCTCTCTACCTCTCTATCTCTCTCTATCTCTCTCTCTTTCTCTCACACACACACAAACATACACTAAGGCTGCGACGAGTACTCGCACTGTTGACAACTACTCGAGTACGATTTCTCATACTCAAATACAGAGCCGCCATTTTTTTTTTTTTTTTTGCCGATATTTTTTCTTCTCCACCTGGCACTGCACCGGCCTGCCGAAGCTCACCCGTGCACGGAAAAGCACCGGCAGGGTACCATGAGTTAAAATGTTTCCCAGCTCAATCATGAACGGGGTGTCACTGTCAACTCACCTCTCAGAAACTAGGACCAAACTAGCTGCCAATGTCCAGATTTCTGTTTGAACTTGGAGGATAATTTGCCTGTCATCTTTAGTTTTCAAAACAACATTGTTACTATTATTTGTGAGAAGTTCACAAGCACAAATCGGCCCCTTCAATTGCAACTCCCAGTAAAATAGTGTGGATTTTTTTAGCCAGACTATGGGGTGCTTCCTACAACATCGGCCAAAAAGAATTCCAAAAAAATTCAACAACAAAAATGGCCGCCAAATATTTGAGTCTTCGCCTGTAAGCCTGGGAGTGTACTCAAGTACCTCATTACACAGCTTTAACATACACACTCACTAACCATTTCCCTTCCTCTCTCTCTTTCTCTTTTTCCCTTTTTATCTCTCCATTTGTATATCTATCTATAATTGTATATCTTTGCAATTTACATTACAGCTGCCTGTGACACCAGCAATCTCTAACAATATCAGTTTTTCTTTAAAAACAGTTTTCAAGAATTCCCCAGAAACATCCAACTCTCTCTCTCTCTCTCTCTCTCTCTCTCTTTCATCCCAATAATGGTATCCGTCATCATCTCATCTCCCTGGCGACCGTTTCCAATCCCCAAACCCCAATCCCAAGGAGACTCCATCTCAGTGATCCATCTGTTATCAACTCTTCTCACTCAATGCCAATGTCAAATCATTTCCTTATTCCTACCACCAAAGAGGAAGGGAAAAAAGTCGAGGAATTCCAACAATGGTCTACAAATGTTCCCAAAATTTCAACAACGCTGATCCAAAACAGTTGGTTGAATTGGATCAAGCACAATCTAAAACCTCTGTATCTTTCTGACATGGCTAAATTTGAAATGACAGTTCCTCAATCCAGTTTAGGAGCATTCCTTTAAAACTTTCTATTTGTTCATTTTAGTTCTTTATTTAAATTCAAGAAACATAGAATGTGACAATGAACATTCGGATCTATTTTTTAAATGAGTAAATCAGGTATTTAATTGATATGCATAATAATGGATAATTCATAATATTTATGGAAGACCCAGTAGTAGTGGCAGTAATAGTCAAAGTAATAATAGTAGTAGTATGAGTTGTAATAGAGGTAGTAGTAGTAGTGGTGGTATTGATGGTGGTGGTGGTGGTGGTGGTGGTGGTGGTGGTGGTGGTGGTGATGGTGGTGGTGGTTGTGATGGTGGTGGTGGTGGTGGTTGTGGTGGTAGTGGTAGTGCTATTGGTAGTGGTAGTGGTAGTGGCAGTGGTAGTGGTAGTGATAGTGGTAGTAGTAGTAGTAGTAGTAGTAGTAGTGGCAGTAATAGTAGAAGTAGTAGTAGTAGTAGTACATTGTAGTAGTAGCAGCAGCAGCAGCAGTAGTAGTTTAGTCAGTAGAAGAAGAAGTTGTTGAAGTAGTAATAGTAATATTAGTAGTAGTAGTAGTAGAGAGTTTAAAAATGCCCTGCTGGCTCAACAAAGAAACAATATATCATCATAGCAAAGAGATACAATCACCAGGTCAGCACTAACAACGAAATACAAATCATCTACTTTGGATGACAAATTTATCACCAGCGTTGACCCCAAGTTGTATAGGTCAAATGACAGGTCAATCAGGTTAACAAGGAATATTGGCTAGAAGACTCGCTAGGGAACGCCACGACTGAGTCAGCTTCAAGTTCTAGTTTTCCTAAGATGTCATGACAAAAAATTACCTATTTTATAGATATAGGTGGTTTGTTACTCGAAACATGGTTTTAATAGCATGAAGTTGGATTCTCTAATCTTCTTTTTTTTTCAGAGAGAAAGTTAAAGAGAAAATCCATCATGATACTCATCTGGTACTAAAATGAGAGGAACAGATCAGTGGAAGTTTAAGTGATTAAAAATAAGAAAGTTATGAATCTTTAAAGCTTATCTGCCGTAGTTTAGAGGAGGGATTAGACTGCCCTGCAAGGTCACTGGACAGGTGGTTATCTCATTAACTCAGCTCTCAGTTAACATAAGAAAAAGAGGATCATGGGGGACCAATGGTCACCGATTAGGCATTGTTTGTTATATAGAGGGCGCAAGTAGCTACAAGTAGTGCAGTGGGCCTTTAAAGGTGCAATCTATCAAATACAAATTGGAAACTCTGTGACGTATCTTACGAGCTCGCCTCCCATTTGCTCTGTACTAAAAAAACTTTAAAAACTTATATTTTCCCATAAGAAAATTTTCAATGATATATTCACCCTAAATATAATTATTGCAAATATACAACCCCTTGAACCCCTGTATGAAATAAATCTATCCCGCAAGATACGTCACAGCGTCACAATTCAAGAGCATGCATGCTAAAGGACACAGGATTTGACCAATGAGTCACAGGGTTGCCTAAATACAGATGATTCCTATCAATAGAGACAAAACTATTTCTGATACTCATGAAAAAGTAATATTGACACAAGGGTTTTAACCCCCCCCCCCCCCCCTCCAAGGTGCAAAGGCATTGGTAGTAAAGAGTGTAGGGGTGTGACACACGCGTCCCCTCCCCCCCCCCCCCCCTACAAAATTTATGTTTGAAAATTTGGAAATCTTCACTCTTTTCTAGAACGGATATGTTGCAGGACCTATCACACCATGTGTCAGTTAATCTGAAATTTCCACTAATTTGGTCAGATATAAATACAAAAAGCAGAAAATAATCCATTTTCATTATCATTATTTTTTAATATCAAGAGCATCTGCTAATAGATGCATTGATAAAAATAGCACTTTACATTTCTTCTGGAAATCTAATAAAAACCTATTCATTTTGAGGGTCCCAACTGCATTTTTTCACGCATTTGATAATTCAAACAAAGATCAAACTTTTGTTCTCACTCAAACATTTGGAAAAGTACCTTCAATAGACAAACTTGAGAACAATGTCAGGTTGTTTGCACCTGTAAGAGAATAGAGTGTTTCCATATTGCCCTATTCTAATCACCTTCTTCCTCTGTGGCGAGTTATTCATGGTTTCACATGGAAAGAGATTGACATTACAGGCCAAGTCTATTCACACCCATGTCTCAATATAGATGTGTTTCCATTATCTTGATAATGTTTTTTACACATTGTTAATTATGATAGAAGTCTTAACAATGTTTCCATTCATCTTACAGTATGAAACAGATTAAGATAAATTTTTAATTGAATGGTAATTGTCTCTGCCAAGTTTTCATAGTCACAAATGTGTTGCCCGAGTTGTTCAATACATTGAAATGTGAAATGGCCCAGTCTTAGGTGTGCTTCCGCTATCCTAAAAGTGTCTATGAATCCACAGTGTTACTTTTTTTTAAGTAACTAAGTACCACAGAATGTATTGTACTAGCTGCGTGGCTTAAAAACAGCTGAGCTGTTAACTGTTTGAAAGGCCTCTTAATATTTCCAAGCCTTCCATCATTGGTCTTAAACATGAGATAAGTTTCACATTTGCTTCATTAAGTATAAAAGAGATTTTGAATAATCTGCCTGGTTTTTCAGAATATCCCAATATGAAAGAGTTATGATGCTGTCAAGAGTTGACCAAGTTTATGTGCTTCATTTTGTTATTAATTCATTGAAAACATGATCGCAACTACTTTTTAAAAATCATTTGAAGTGCTATTTCAATACCCTATTGTTTATCCCACAGAAATCATGTTCAGATTACTGATTACGTCATGTTCACATATTTTAACTGATGCCACCAAAGGCTACTGTAAATGCCTTTGGTTAATTTTCAAAAGTAGTTGCGATCACGTTTGAAGGAGATTAACTCTGTCTAATGGGAACACATCTGTGTGGGTACACCCTATGACTATGTGATTTCAGGTGCTAATCTCCCATGTGTTCTTACACGGTGAGAAAGTAGCCACACATTAATCCCATCATTGAGAGACAAGGGATATTACAATCCTGTGCCAAGGACTTGCACTTTTAGAACATGACTTAACGCCTGAAATTTCCCAGAACCTTACGAAATGCTTGCGGGACAAATGTGTTTCATTCAGGGGCAAAAACAGGGTTGATAATGATGAATTGGCGCTTGGTCTACGACAAGTTCGTCTATTATCCAATCAGTCTATTCCAATATGGTCTACACCCAGCCACTCTACTATCAATATGGTCTCATAATCATGTTGAATACTTATAATTTGGTCTAATGACCATTTAGGCTAATAGTCGTTTGGTCTAATTTCCATTTGATGTATCTAATCTCCAATAAGTCTACTACCCATTTGGTCTATCACTCATTAGGTCTTATTTCCATTAGGTCTTATTTCCAGTCAGTCTGATTCTCAGTTTGTCTAATGCCCACTTTGTCTACCATCCATAAGGTCTAATAATCATCTAATCATAAATAATAATAATAATAATAATCAAATGATTATTAGAGCTTATAGAATGTAGACGGCCTGGGTGTAGACGAAATAAACCACATCAAACTTTCCACAGCTTGAATTCCCCTTTAAATGTCTCGAAGGGGTAGTCGTCATTCTAAGATGAGATGGTATTTATTTTTTTAGAGAAAATGTGGATGAAGTTTCCGCATCCTAATTTCCCTACCTCTTTGACATTTAAGTCCAGTCTCACAAGGGTAGCATTATGGAGCAAATTCTTGAACCCTTCAAAAGTTCCACCAAGTTCACAAACTTAAATGTTAATATGATTTTGTGAGACAAACTGCTTTCAACATTCATATTCATTCATCATTTTATCTTAGCGAAAACAGTGCTCCATAGCAAACAATTATAAAATTCATGAACCAAATTCTAAACTTCAAAAAGAAAGTTTTTTGCAAGTCTACACTAATTTTACAAAAGGCAAAGTTTAAGCAATTTGAATAAACTGACAGTGAAAATGGCTTAAATCAGCTATTCATCATGCCAATTCATTCTGTCTCATAAATTTACATTGAACCGTAAAATCACATTGTGATTCCTTTGGAAGACTCCTGTTGAGCTATGCAGCACTAATAATTAACTTTGAATTCTCTCTTTTTTAAACTGCACTTTGTAACAGTTTGACAGCGTCTGTGTCAGGGTTAAATAAACCATTTGTTGTGCTGTAATAATGAACTATGAATTATATGACAAATCAAAGGCTTGAGGCTATAGTTCTAGACAATGTGTTATACGCCTTAGAAACTGTCTGGCTACATTACATGCCATAAAACACCTGGGTTTCTAATTGGAATTTGGTTCTTTAAAATACTGTCACATGCAGCAGTGCTGCACACTATTTTTCACAGATGGTCTATATCAGAATCTGCCTGAAGTGCCTATACTAGAAGTACAGTCAATGCATGTGTTGAATAATAACTTTAATAATTAAAAGTCCCTATTTTCCTTCATAGACTTACATATGTTAATCATTGATACATGCAGGTGCGTACACGGGGGGGGGGGGGGGGGGGGGGGGGGGGGGGGGGGGGGGGGGGGGGGGGGGGGGGGGGGGGGGGGGGGGGGGGGGGGGGGGGGGGGGGGGGGGGGGGGGGGGGGGGGGGGGGGGGGGGGGGGGGGGGGGGGGGGGGGGGGGGGGGGGGGGGGGGGGGGGGGGGGGGGGGGGGGGGGGGGGGGGGGGGGGGGGGGGGGGGGGGGGGGGGGGGGGGGGGGGGGGGGGGGGGGGGGGGGGGGGGGGGATGGGGGGGGGGGGGGGGGGGGGGGGGGGGGGGGGGGGGGGGGGGGGGGGGGGGGGGGGGGGTTTATTTGGGGGGTATAAACCCCCCCCTTTGGTAATTTTTTTGTGTGTAAACCCCCCCTAAATTTCTCTAAAACCCCCCCCCCCCTTTTGGATTTTCTTTTTTTTTTTCTTTTTTTTTTCTTAAAAAAAAACTAGATGGAATTCGACTGCACGCAGTTGAAAATGATGCCTCCGTCATAGAGCAATTTTACAAACCGAAACGGAAGAAATTTTTCAAATTCAAGTTCGATTGTAATCCATTAACATGTTCTCAGAATATCGTGATTACAAGCAATTTCTCATAAACATATATGACCCTTTGATCTTTGACCTCATGACCCTAAAATCTACTCAGTTCATATTGGCCTGCAAGATTTCCTGAGTTAAATAGTAATCCATCTGTCAGTTCTAATGAGAATTGCGTCCACAAGCTATTTTTGCATACATAATGAGCCCATGACCTTTGATCTTATGAACCATTCATTGGCTCTGCAAGATACATAAATGATCTAAGTTTGGCAGAATCCATCAATCTGTTCTAATGATAATACGATCACAAGCTATTTTTGCATACATAATGAGCCGCATGACCTTGACCTTTACCTCATGACCCAAAATCTAATCATTTCATCACTCTGCAAGTAACATACATGACCAAAGTTTGGCAGGAATCCATCAATCGGTTGTTCAGATAACGCGATCACGACTGTTTTTGCATACATAATGTGCGCTGTGACCTTTGACCTCATGACCCCAAAATCTAATCAGTTCATTGGCTTTGCAAGATACATACATGACCAAAGTTTGGCAGGAATCCATCAATCGGTTCTTCAGATAACGCGATCACAAGCTGTTTTTGCATACATAATGAGCCCTGTGACCTTTGACCTTTGACCTACGTGCTCCAAAATGTAATCAGATTGTTTTCCTATAGTGATACACACTATCACTAAGTTTGAAGTTTAAATCTCCAGTGGTTCTTGAGATATCATGATAACAATCTCAATGTATGGAATTTCATAAGTTGACCTTTGTGACCCTTGACCTTTGACATACGTGCTCCAAAATCTAATCAGATCGTCTTCCTATGGTGATACATACTATCCTTAAGTTTTAAGTTTAAATCTCAAATGTTCTTGAGATATCGCGCTAACAAGCTCAATACAAGGAATTTAATAAGTTGACCTCTGTGACCTGTGACCTTAGACTACATACTCCAAAATCTATCAGATCGTCTTCCTATGGTGATAATACTATTCCCGAGTCTTAAGTTTAAATCTTAAATGGTTCTTGAGATATTGTGATAACGGTCAAACGGGACGTACGGACGGACAACCCGAAAACATGATGCCTCCGGCACCACCTTCGGTGGCGGAGGCATAAAAAAACTTACTTACCCCCCCCCCCCCCCCCCCCCCCCCCCCCCCCCCCCCGCTTATTCAGCGGCTGGCTGAGTCGTTGCGAAATTTATATAGCAAAAGTCAATAAAATTCCCAGAACTGTTACAGAAGAAAAGCATTGAATTCATATCAAAAAGTTAATTGAGACCGCAATGTGTAATCAATCACTGTCAAAGCACCCGCCACACTCCAATTTTGTTTACACAATACACCCCAGATTTGAAGCATTGGGAACTGTAATTTTGTAAATATGTAACCCCTGTTTTTTTTTCTTCTCCCCTTCATCTTCCCTCCCTCTTGCCTCCCTTCGGCTCACCCCTCCCTCTCCCCTCCCTCTCCCCTCTCTCCCTCCCTTCCTCCTTCCCCTCCCCTTCCCCCACCCCTCCCCTTCCTCTCCTCTCCCTCCCCCCAATTGCCCCTCCCTCTCCCCTCTCTCCAAATGTATATAACTTGTCTCAATTGAGGTTTACTTCATTTTCACATTTTAGTTGTCCAAAGATCACCAACATTTATCCTCATTAATGGAGTGATTATGTGCAATATATCCCATACAACATTCACCCATTTAAATCATCAAACAATAGAAATATCTTTGATATGGATAGTGGCTGATAATTCTTTCCTGTATAACTAACATTTAATAAATGGTCATATCAAGATTTGTTTCCATTTTTTTGATGAAATAAATGGGAAAATGTCGTATGTTGTACAAGGCACACTGCAAGGAATCACCCAATAGATTCAGTAACACAGAATACATTGATAAACATATGACTTAAATTGTGTATTGTTAAGTTATGGTTATTTTGTATATTTGGTGAGGATCATTTTTAATGAGCCATTCATGTGCTTTTCATGTGCCTCCCACTTCAGATATCTCATCATATGTTTGAACTGAAGATTGTGTAATGTTATTTTTATCTTAACGTGGAAATAAATAAATGAAATAAAATGAAATAAACTTACGTTTGATACACTGTCTACTGCCTTCGTTGATGGTCCATCCCGGGCAGCACGTAGGTCCACCCGTCGAGGCTGATCTACAAACGTGAGGTCCTCTGAAAGGAGCAAATAAAAAGAGAAAATATGGTAAACACTAACAATCGGACAATGGAATGAACGATGGAAGTCAAATATGATTTAATTTGGAAATCTCTAAAACACGAGTACGATTATAAAAAAAATGCTGTCATTCAGTTTTGGATAATGGATGTCTGACAAATGCAAGCATGAAATACAAAAAGAGGATTTAAAAATTACTCTGATATTCAAATAGCATTTTGTGGCAGCTCCACCCCAAACATTATAAATAAAATATATTTGAGGAAAATAAAGGTACATAAATCATACCCTTTGGTTTGTTTTGTTTCTATTTACTTTCAAAAAACAGAATTCTGACAGTCACATCATCCTCTGTGAAAAGTAGCATTTTAAAACTACAATAATCCATCAAAGTATAGTTGTTTTCTAAACTCTAAAACCTTCAAGAAAGATATTTGTTTGTACCTATGATTAAAAACTGAAATCGATATCTTTGGGTCAATGCTGGACAAATATTTTGACCAACTCAGAAGAATTTATGTACATTTTGAGTTTACAACACATAAAAAGAAAGCTCCACACTAAAAAAATTTCTGTATGAAAGTGGGTCACATTTTCTTATATACATCACTCTCCATCACTCTTTCTCTATCTATCTATCTGTCTGTCAATCTGTCTGTCTGTCTGTCGGTCTGTCTGTCTGTCGGTCTGTCTTTCTATATCTCTCTCGTCTCTCTCTCTCTCTCTCTCTCTCTCTCTTACAGTACCTCCCACCTTCTCTCTCCATCACTCTTTCGCACTCTATCTGTCTGTCTGTCTATCTGTCTGTATATCTATTTGTCTGTCTTTCTGTCTGTCTTTCTGTTTGTCTGTCGTTTGTCGGTTTAACCCTCACTCGTTCTCTCTCCATCTCTCTCTCTCTCTCTCTTTATTACCTCCCTCCTTCTCTCTCTCTCTCTCTCTCTCTCTCTATCTGTCTATTTGTCTGCCTGTCTATACCCCCTCCTCCTCCCTCACTCTCCCTCCCTCCCTCCCTCCCTCCCTCCCTCCCTCCCTCCCTCTCCTATCTCCTATATATGTATCACTCCCATGGGTCGGTTCATGAACTTGAGAAGTGGGTTGGGATCTCCATTAAGCTGATAATGAATGGAACAGACCCAATATGATAGGCTTACAAGAAGAAACTTTTTAGGTGTCTTTTGATGATGACAAATTAAGGCTATTTACATTCTTCAAAATTATAGGTATGACCATAATCATCAATCCAAATGTTCTTCAATATATCATTTGCTCAGCCCTAATAGCGCTAATTCTATGTTGAGGTGGGAGGATGTTGATTGGGGTGTGGGATGTAAATGAATTTTAGGCCCTCAGCAGAAGATAGACCTAAAAACAATTGCTATTAAAACTTGAGTTTTGCATTGCCTGTTCACAAAACAACCAACTAATTATAACTCCTTCAAGATAGGTGAGGCAGGGAGGTGATACTACCTGGGTGATGTAATCATTTCGTTTACAAATAGTTTTATTAACAGGGTGCATATTATGTCTAATCTATGTAAATATATTTTAAAAACATAATCAGATGCAAATTGTGATTGCAAAGGCCTAATTCCATAGATAATTGCAACTTTCTTCTCCAATACATAAGCCAATTGAGGTGCATCTTAGTGATCTTACTGAGTTTTTGTGAGAAGAAATGCATATTTGGGGGGCATTTTCTCATATTTATCAGCTTTCTCTTTTACTTGCGCTTAGAAAGATGCCTTACTTTTATCCGAGCATGGGATTTGTGCCCTCCCTGTACTTAACGAATGAAATCACTATGCAATATAACAACAAATCTTGCTACCATCATGTCTGAATCTTAAGACTAACTTTGAGAAGGAGGGATATGCAGATGTGTAGATTGACGCTGAGAAAAAGAACTTGTTTGACATGTCTAAAGCTATGTAGAGAATTAAGATCTAGCGAAGGAACACATGTCACTATTAGCATCAATTTCACATTCGGGGCCAAAGAGATTGTCTGAACAGATTTGTTTCAAGGGATTGATTTAAAGGGAATTGCTTGCCTGATATAGAATGAGTCAGGAGATACCTTCTGAAAATCACAAGGAAAGGACATTTCATGTTTGTACAGTTCTGAATGTCACAAAAACAGATGAAAGAATACACAAAATTTGATATGTGAAAAAAAATTAGGGAAAGGGCGAAAGGGTGGTTATTGTACCGGAGTGTTGGCTCAGTCAGTAGAGCGTCCGCCTCACAACCGGGAGGTCATGGGTTCGAACCCCGCCGCGTCATACCAAAAGACGTTAAAAGATGGGAGTTGTTGCTACCTTGTTTGGCGTTCAACAATAAGGGATAGAGCAACGTCGATCTGGCGCTGCTCAGTGGCTGCCGGGGCTCACGATCAATTGGGCAAAAAGAATTTCGGTTTCGGTTTAATAAAATTTGGAGTGGACTATTAGGCTATTATTATTATTATTGAACTGACTGATGACAGTATAATACCAATGCATTGCAAAGGTTTATTGCTGTTTAGTCTAGCTACAACCAGTTTGTCAACTACCCAATTAGTCTATTCCCATATTATAGTCTAATAATCTTTCATCTACTTATCATTTGGTCTAATGACCATTCAGGCTAATAGTCATTTGGTCTAATTTCCATTTGGTTTGATCTCCAATATGTCTACTACCTATTTTGGTCTATTGCTCATTTAGTCTAATTTCCATTCAGTCTAATTTCCATTCAGTCTAATTTCCATTCAGTCTAATTTCCATTCAGTCTAATTTCCATTCAGTCTAATTTCCATTCAGTCTAATTTTCCATTCAGTCTAATTTCCATTCAGTCTAATTTCCATTCAGTCTAATTCCAAATTTTTATAATGCCCATTTTGTCTCTTATCCATATGGTCTAATAATCATTTAATCATAAATAATAATAATCATCAAATATGGATGGTATACAAAATGGGCATTAGACAAAATGGGAATTTCACCCATTGAAAATCACCACATATCAAAGTGAATGGAAAGCATAGTCCCCCAAAAGGGGAAATGGGGAACATTTACATCATCAAGTAAAAGGGGTTTTTCAGTTCTGACTGCTTCAATTACAAATCAGAGAGCCCAGTTCTAAGGGTATAGATGGACCTACCATAATCCTACAATGTAATTTCTACCTGATGAGCTAAAGTATGCCTTACCACAATTCCCACACAAAAGCCAATTGACTCTACGTACCAGGTATGAACTCAAAGTTAAGGTAACGCATTCAGTCCAGTTCACTGGACCATGAATAAGGAATCATCTCTGTTGATTCCTCTTTACTCATGCGCACTGGGAGGAAAGGACTATATCCAAGGAGTTTGTCACTTTATCATAGCAACAATTAACAAACTTCAATTTGCACCAAAAAAACAGTAGGAAAGTTACCTTATGGACGAATTATTCCAGGTAGATACAACCACAAATAAAGGAAATCTTTGAACAGCACTCAAATTCCAGATTTTGATCTTGAATGATGTCCATTTCAAAACAAATCTCAAGCACATGCATGTCATATTTTATCAAGAAAAAACTGGTGATTTGATTCATGTGTCTTAAACCATATTCAATGTGAATAACAGGCCTACAGTAATAAATTCACTGAAAATCTAGCTCCATCTACACACTCCCCTGCCTCTAGGGACCCTATAACTCACCCTCCACCCCCCCCCCCACACACACACACACACATTTGCACGCTGTCATCTCTGTCTCTGCATATACATCTCCCCAGCTGACCCCCCACATACTTGTATCCTTATGAGTTCTTTTTAGATTTCCAGCATTTATCATGAAATAAGAGAGCTGCTTATTGTTTTTTCTGAGCTATTAAAGCAGTCTCCACTCTCGGGTTTTATCTCTTTGTTTCCTCTTTCCAGTCTTTCTCCTCTCCTCATATTCTATATGCTGCATCACTCCATCTTTCTGCCAACCATTCCTCTTTTCTCTCCCCCATCTCTAATCTTTTTACCACAGAAGGCTTGTCCTCATCAGCTCGAGTTTGCCAAATAACCTGCTATTTTAACTATTGCAATCGCAAATTAACCAGTCAATTCGTCTTCATCAGCCCACACTTGCAATTAGCCGGATATTTGGTAGAGAAAATATCCCAAGAAATATTGTTCTTGTTTCCAAAATATCCCGCTTTTCGGGAAATAGCGGGCTAATTTGCGCCCAACCGAGCTAGTTTGTGATGAGCGTATCGGTCTGGTGAAAACGCAATTTCGAGCTAAGGGATAATATCCCGAGTCTGAAAATAGTGGGTTCTTTGGGAACTGGAGCTGATGAGGACAGGCCTAGACACTTCCATAAAAAATCAGAGTACCATGTTTCCTTTATCACCGAACATGTCACATTAGAGACTCCACCCAAATGTTATTTATAGCTCACATGAACACATTACGTTAACACATTCAAGCTCAATACATTATCTATCACTTATGTTCCATTGACATTTGCTCTGGCTACAATTGCGGCAACTTTATTTCATCAAAATATGGGTTAGGGTGAGAGTTGTTATTGAGTTATAGGATAGGTTTAAAGTTAGATTGTTTATTAAACCTGACTGATAATGGAGCATGTATATATGCTTGTTTTTTGCAAGTAACCAGGGGACTGACGGCTTAAAGTCCTCTTTGAGGGACTGGGTAATGAGGATTAATGCCTTACCAAAGGGCACAAGCGAGCGCATTGAATTGGCTTTGAACCCATGACCTCACAGTTACTCGCAGACCACTGCTCTACCACAGAGCCATCGTGCCTCCTACCAAAGGGCACAAGCACATTGACTTGGTTTTGAACCCGTGACCCGGTTACGAGACCACTGCTCTACCACTCAGCCATCTCACCTCCCACATGTATTAGGGTGACAGACCACTTCACACCTCGAATAGATGAATCTTACAGAGAAAGGATGTCTAATAGACGATAAATAGATCCCATGTGTACTAAGATCAGGATAT